TTATTATTATTATTATTATTATTATTATTATTATTATTATTTAGGTGCTGGTTGTTGTTGCTGTTATTAAAAATAATCCAGGGTTAGGTTGTTATTATTATTATTATTATTAAAAATAATTCAGAGTTAGGTGGATATTATTATTATTGGGATTATTATGAAAAATAATCCAGGGTTAGATGATGATGATGATGATTAAAAACAACCCAGGGTTAAGTTATTATCATTATTATTATTATTATTATTTAGGTGCTGGTTGTTGTTGTTGTTGTTGTTATTAAAAATAATCCAGGGTTAGGTTGTTATTATTATTATTAAAAATAATTCAGAGTTAAGTGGATATTATTATTATTGTTATTATTATGGAAAATAATCCAGGGTTAGATGATTATGATGATGATGATGATGATTAAAAATAACCCAGGGTTAGGTTATTATTATTATTATTATTATTATTAAAAACAATCCAGGGATAAATAAAAATTATTATTATTATGAAAAAAACAATCCAGGGTTAAGATGTTATTGTTGTTGTGGTGGTGGTTATGAAAAAATAATCTCCTCTCCCCATGGATTGAGAAGCGGGGAACCACAACAATTAACAGACACCCCACATCAGTCAAAACACATCAATTAAAATCCACTTCAATTTAAAAGGGCATGAATAAAATTTAAAAGAACAAGATATACACATATTAAAGCAGTCCACATTTAAGATTGATTATTTAAGTAAGGTAAGTACTATAACAGCCAAAATCCACCAACCAGTGATACCTTTATGGGGCCACCCAAAATGCACAAAATATATGATACAAGCTTTGGAAGCTTCAGTGGAATAATTGCCAGGCTGGGCAAAACTACAGTTCCCAGAATTCTATAGCATGGAGCCATGGCAGTTAAAGTGGTGTCAAACTGGATTATTTCTCCGGTGCAGATGCAACCTATTTCGCAGATGAAAACCAGGACAAATGTGGCCAAGTAGCATCAAAGCATGGCCAAGAAGACAAAGATTTATTAATGAGGAAGAACATACAAGCTAGGAGAGGTTGTAGCAGTTTACTTTTACCTAAGGCTATTGGGAAGATGAGGAAGATTGCACCCCTTCTTTTTTGTTCCCCTTGCAATGCAGACTACTTTTGCATTTTGAACTCTGTTTGCAGCAAATGAAGAAAACTGAAGGCAAAGAGGGAGGAAAGGAGAAAAACTGGGACATTTTACAGCAGCGGAAAAAGTGGAACAGTGGAGGATTAACTGAGACAGCCTCTGCCAAATCTGGACAGTTGGAGACTGTGGGCCAAAACACACCAGAAATAATCCAGTTTGAGGCCACTTTAACTGCTCTGGCTCAATGCTAGGGAATCCTGGGAGTTGTAGTTTTGTGAGACATTTAGCCTTTTCTATCAGAGAGTTCTGAAGCCACAACAAACTACAGTTCCCAGGATTCCCTAGCACTGAGCCAGGGCAGTTAAAGTGAAATAAACTGGATCATTTTGGCAGTGTGTTCTGATCCTATGGCTCCCTGTATTGATTTTGCTGGAAATCAACATTTTAAGGCAATTCATATACTGGTGTTATGTATAGAGACAGACAGAAGAACAGTTTGAGAGTTCAAGAGTGTTAGGGCAAACGCAGGACATTTTGCTGTCTAGGGCTGCATCCGCACTGCAGAAATGATCCAGTTTGACACCCCTTTAACTGCCACGGCTCCATGCTATGGAATTCTGGGAATGGCAGTCTCTACAAACAAACTGCCATTGCCAGCATGGAGCCATGGCAGCTAAAGGGGTATCAAACCAGATTACATCTGCAGTGCAGATGCCTCCTGAAGCAAAACAACACATTGCACACAACATCTGCAACACTCATGGTGCATTATGTCTGAAGGTGAAGCCAGCTGTGTTATTTTGACACATAAGGCAGAAAAATCTCACAATCCCTCTCCCCCGCATACACATAGACACACTAAAAATAAAATAAAATAAAATAAAATAAAATAAAATAAAAATCAAAGTTTAGGAAAAGTCCAGCTTTACATCACAATTTCCACAATCCTTCAGCCAACAAGACCAGGGGGATTTGAGAAATTGTAATAATAATAATAATAATAATAATAATAATAAAATGTTTATTTATATTTCCCGCCTCTCCCTACGGATCGAGGCGGGATTACACCAATAAAATGAACAACAGTATACAAAGTTATAATCAAGTAAAATAAATACAATTAATACAATAAAAACATTATAAAAATCAATAAGCAGCAAATTATAAAGTCAATAAAACAAGCTAATAAAACAATCAACATCCACTACCAAGCCATATAGTCATACCAATTTAACTTAAGTTAATTTAAGGCCCGTCAAGGAGGTCAGAAGGATAGTTGTAGTTCAAAAAAGAAAAAAAAAATGAATTTTTCCCCCAGCCTTTGATAAAAAATACAGTAACAACCTGAATAACTAACAATTTGCCATCCTTTCATGACACCCCAAATCAGCTGCTTGGCAAAGATTATTCTACTTAATGGAAAGGCCAAGTCCCAATAAACTCCAAGGAAGTCAATAAATCAAAGTAGATTATTATCACATTAGCTTATTTTTATGAGCTGTTTTGTTTCAAGTGATATCACAGGAAACACTTCTGAGAATCCATTTGAATTGTTGCATTCATTAAAACATTAAATCTACAGTATCTCCAGGACTCAAGCCAGTGTGGGATTTTGGCAAGTGATGCTAAAACAGCATTTGTATTTCCAGTGCTTGTAAACTAAAAGAATGTGTTGTATTGATCGTAATGGAGATCCTGATTTAAAATGGCTCTTTCCCATTTTTTAAATTGCATTATCCGTTCGGATGTATCGTAATGCTCTGGAGACAGAGGCAGATTCTGTCAGATTATACACAGATTATTACTATTATTATTATTTATTTGGGAGACAGCCCCACAGAGCTGAGGTTAGAGCAGATATTCAAGGGCTTGCAGTGTAAAGGAAATTATTGGGCATCTCTTACTTCATTTCATTTATCTACTACTGTTCACTTTATGTAGAGCTTGGAAAAGTTATATATTGAACTATAATTCCCAAATCCTAGAACAACATGACCCTAAACCATGCTGGTTACAGGAATTCTACAATTTGCAATCCAAAATAGTGCCTTTTCCAAACCCTTGTTTGGAGTGAGTTGTGGCTTCTCTGCTGATGTTAGTGAGTTTAAGTTATAATAATAATAATATAATAAATGTTTATTTATAACTCGCCTCTCCCCGAAGGATCAAGGCAGGTAACAATCATGAAATACAACAATACAGCCATAAAACAACATGATAAAATAACCGAATCCCCTTATTAGCTGATTAGTCATGTTGTTGTTCTATGTTTTGTCATTATTCAAATATTTATTATTTAACACTGTAGTAGCAAAGGAGAAAGAAAGGTTCTAACTAGGAATAATGCAAAGACCTTTGGTCCAATGCAATAAACTTGACTTGACTTGACTAGGAATATTCAGAGTAAAACTCTCTAGGATACAGATCACACTGCAGAAATAATCCAGTTTGAGACCACTTTATCTGCCCTGGCTCAGTGCCAGGGAA